TTCTTTCATTGATGATGATGTCTTCGGTTATGAATGTTTGTGTGATCAAATCCACTATGATTAGCTAAATCCATCTGCTAGGGATAGGGGACAATTGATTAGGTTCAATTATAATTGCTTGTCCTTAATTGTTCATATCTATGCGAGTTAAGTTCAATTTAGGGTTAATAGATTGATCACCTATATAACCTAGTAAATCATTGTTTAGAACCGAAAGGGGAGACATTGGTCGACTTAGGCTCGTTTAGAATAGACTTGTTCGTCAAAGTATTGTCTATGAGTTGCTGGCTTTGATAGTCAATCGTATATGTTCACTCTCTTGTTACGAAGAGTTATTGAGAGTGAACCTCTAAACGATAGACGATTCATTTCCTTTAACCGAGCAATTGATTGCCGGTAGTTGTGTAAGAACCGAAAGCAGTTGTCCCCGATTCCCTAGCTCTTTAAATTCTCAGTTAATTCGTTCTTGTTCATTTCGTGCTTTATTTAATTTAAAGTTTGTAGTTGATAATCGAAACCCAAATCATTGAATTAGATTGTTTAGGATTTTTATCTTCTTTTGTGATTGAATAATCGAACAATTATATCCAGCTAACCTTCCTTGCGATACGACCTGGGGACGAATCTTTCGATTCTACTCCGGTTAAAATACTGACAACATCAGGAGATCCCAACAGTTTGCGCAAGGGAATAATTCCCCTCAGCTCAGAGGGGGGCACGTGGCGAAAACGTATTGGTGCAGAGTGATAGTGGTAACAGCCACCTCTGACACCCCTGACATTTCTGACAACACGCACACTGTGTGCGTACAGACGGGCAGCGTGGGTAGGACAGCTCACCAATATCCGGGCAGCTCTTAGGGCAGGTATCTCACTCCTATATATAGGGGAGTGGGTCTTTTCTTAGAGTTTACGATTTATCCATTCTTTACTTTGGAAAATTGAACAAGCATATACTGACTTAAGCATCAGAGGCTCTTCACCGGAAAACCCCTCCGGTGTGAGAGTTCTGTGCAGGAACGCGGCGTTCCATCGGCGAGGAAGAAGGAAGCAAACCGATTTCAAGCCGGTCGGAGTGTTTTGCGTTACCAATAGCATTATACCTTCTTCTAGAATCAACTAATCGGGACCGAAAAAGATCAATTTTGGATGGCTCTCGGCTCTCAGCTAGCTACTTCGGCTCTAAACGGCTATTGCTATCACGTCCGGCCGGCGAGGAAACAAACAGAAACTGCTGTCGTACGACAAAAGCCACAACCGCTGCTCGCTGAAAAGGGGCATTGCGAGGATTTGTTGCTCGATGCACGGGCCCGGTGAACAGCTGATGTTCACTGAAAAGAAATAACGGTGGCAGGGTGCTGCTGCTGCTCGGAAAAGAACCCGTCAGGCAGTGTCGGCTCTAGGGGGAGGCACCATAGGCCCATGCCTAGGGCCTCCAATTTTGAAGGGCCTCAATTTCTTTTTTTAATGATTGTGTATTTGTGTTTGATTTTGTTTATTTACACAAATAAATAGGCTAATGGCTAAATAGAACTTGGCCCATTACACAAATCAAGATCAAGAGACTAATTAATGAAGAGGCTAATAGCAAAATATGTACTTTGTGTAAGAATTTTAAGCCCTAAATATTTCGTTTGTTTTTTATGATGTTCGGTCAGAAGAAATTGTGCGAAAATAAATATTCTTTGTTGTAATATGATTTTTATTTTCTTCTCCTTGTTGTTTTCATGACTGCTTGAATGAAATTTATAATTTATTAAATGTAATTTTTCCAACGTCTAGAAAAACAAGAAAAAACGTTTTTTTTCAATTATTTATTTATTTAATAGTCTTGTGTAAATAGATTTTTTTTTATTGTATGATTCTATCTACAAAAGTCTTACCACGCAAGTTCAAATCGAGACATTCAAAAAGGTAAAATTTGTCTGGGGCCTCCAAATTCCTGGAGACGGCCCTGCCGTCAGGCAGTGGCTGCTCGAACTCAACGGCGAAACCCATCAGAATGGACCGCCACTGTCGGCTTTTCAGCGAACGGGAAGCTGCTCGACTTGGAGGGACACGGCGGAGATGCGAGAGGGCTAATGGGCTAGGTAGTCGCCGGCTTGAAACAGCGACGGCGGTTGCCCTCTGAACAACGTAACGACTCGTAGACAGAGCAAAGAGCCTTGCCATTTGCTGTTAATTTGCCGTCACTGGCGGCCGGTGGTTGATACGGGCACGACGGCGAAGGGCGGAGATGGCCGATTTTTGCTGCTCGCTGAAGTCTCCGGCGGAGAAAGATCGACGTGAGTGCTGCTCGCTGGAATGAGTCACGCGGCTGAGGAGAATCGCTGGCGGACGTGTCAAGATCGGTTTCGACTTCGGCTGGTGGGCGATCGTTCGGCGAGCTCACGGCGGTTGGCAGTCGGCGGATCATGACCTTCGGGTTGAGATTCGTCGACTTCTGTAGATGATCACCGGGTCTTGAATACCTTTGGATCTTCTACTGTATTAGTCACACACCTCTTCAACTCGTACCAGTGGAGCAACGAGAAGAAGATAAAGCTTGAATGAGAACTGAGAGAGAGAGAGATAGAGAGAGAGAGAGAGAGAGAGAGAGAGAGGCGGCCGATTCTCACGTGTGGAATAGATCTGTAAGAAGTTAGTAAATAAGTTTAAGAGGTCATTATATGGACTAAAACAAGTATCGCGTTAATGGTATCTTAAGTTCAATGATATCATCATTGCTTATGGTTTTATAGAGAATATTGTTGATGGTTATATCTACATTGAGGTCAGGGGGAGTGGGTTTGTTATTTTAGTTCTATATGATGACGACATATTGATAGTTGCTAATAACGTAGACATGTTGCACGAAATAAAATATTATCTCTCTAAAAATTATGAAATAAGGGAAATATATGAAACATCCTTGGTAATTGGAATAGAATATTCCAGAATATATCAAAAGAAATAAATTGAAATGTCCTTGTATGAAATGTATGAAACGTTATAATTTGAGAGTTTTGGAGATATATTTAAGGGATGGTTGTTTCGTAAGAATAATTCCAATTCATAAAATGAACACATTTAGTCTAAAATAAATGTCCGGAAAGGTGAAATGGAATAAAAAGTGATGGAGAAATTTTTTTAGATATGAATGATTAGGAGTCTTAAGTGAGACGAACCTGTACTAGCTAGGTTTGATAACATATTTGTTGTTTGTTTGTTAAACAAATATAAAAGTAATCCCTAAATGATTATTTAAATGCTGCAAAGAAATTTCTACATGCTAACTTAAAGGAGGTCCAACCTATTTGTTATAATTGAATACTCGGATTTAGATTTTTTGCTTATAATGTCAAAAAGAGCAGATTATGGAAAAGTGGAACAAAGTCCATCACTGCGACTTCCACGATTAAGATTGAGTTTGTGGTATACTTTGAAGCCACAAGTCAAAATTTAGGGCTACGATGCTTTATCTTAGGCCTTGAAAAGGTCGACATATTGTCCAAGTCGATACAAAATTAATGTAGTTTTGCAGCCATAATATTTCAAATAATGACAAGTATTTAAGTAGTGTGTATCACATAAATTTGAAATACTTGGTCGTAAAAGTAGAAGTGAAGAAAAAAAGTGTCATTTTAGCGTGTTATTACTAATTGCATGAAAGCGGATCCACTAAAGATTATTACCTATAGCCTTTGCAAGGCATATAAAGGAAATCGGGAGTATCAAATGGGGCATTGTTGTACTAACTGATACTGAATATAATTGCTCTATTTAATGTTTTTTACACTTATTGAATTCGATTAAAGATGTTTGGTTCTTCACATATAATATCATCATTATGGATATTCAATTTTGTAATATATACATAAAAGTTGAATGGCTTATGGTTATTATACAAATGGTTTGTTCCGTATTAAAGTAAAGTTGAATTAGAAATGATTTGTGGTACATGGAAGGGATCATATCCCTCGAAGATTTTTGACTGCCATGACTCGGTCAGTTTTTTTTTTTTTTTATTTATTTTAAACTTATATATTGATATATGTATTCAATGATAAGATTGATGAACGGTGCGCGCATAAAGTAGTTCATTGGGTTTCGACACTTATATGATCCAAGTGGGAGAATGTAAGAATATTTTATATTTTACTATTATTGTGGACTATATAGATAGTTGGACCTAATTGAATTAATAATCAAACTTAATTAAGGTGAATGTGTATTTAATCAATTATTAATGTTCTCATATTAAAGAGTACAATTTGTGATGTTTGACTAGGATAATAAATTAAGATCGAACATTGAGAATGTTAGTAGAATTAGGATTGTAGGTTTCTTCCTATATATACTACTACATGCCTCTCTCTCTCGGCAGATACGAGTAGAGTTCTCAACATCAAGGGCTTTATGAATGTACGAGAGACGCGGGTGAGAGAAACACATCATTGGAGTACTTTACGGGAAAGAGGATCGTTGATCATCAACAATAACGAAAACAGGGAAGGACTAAGGCTATGTTTAGTAGGCAAATAAGCTATCTTATATCTTATTTGGTTAACTTATAAGCTTCATGTATTCAAATAAGCTTCGTTTGGTAGGACGAGCTTATTTAAAAGGCTCGAGCTTATCTCATAAGCTTCTTTAGGTTGCTTTTCAAATAAGTTCGTTGAAATTTTTATTTCAGCTAGCTTATCAGCTAATTTTACCAAACACTTTTATCATATAAACTAGCTTTTTAGCTATAAGTAATAAGCTATAAGCTCAAAAATTACAGATAAGCTATATAAGCTAGCTTATCAGCTAGTTTTACTAAACATAGCCTAAAAGTTGGACTTTTGTAAAGTCTAATTGCAATTTAATTTATGCAAAGATCCATGTTCTATGAATCGATAGAATTACATATTTAGGATTTATTCAATTCTGTTTAATTGTTATGAGTATGTCCATAAAATTTCTTGCACCAAAATCAAATGGAAATTTAAACATGNAAAAAAAATTGAAGGTTGCACTAGATTAGACCGGACGTTAACTTTATATTGCTAAATCAGACTCTAGTTATGAGAATAACTTATAAGAAAAGAAAAATGAAGCCCTATATGCATGCATTAGAAAGCAATTAAAATTAGGAGGATTATCAAGATGAAATGCTTTGTTTGTATAGGGTGGTGGCAACAAGCTGACATCTGGGACACATAGTGAGGGTGGAGTGTGGGCTACGTGGCGGTACTGCCTTCATATCTCGGACCTCCTTTTGTAGCTTCTTGTTTTCTTCCGTTAGTCGTCCAAACCATTGCTTCAAGTACTCGCACTCCATCTCTCTTTGCTTCGTCTTGCTCCTGAACAATTTTATTTTATTCATACTTATATATATATATATGCATGTTTTTCGGCAATATTAATACCACCGTTGCCTATCGTGAACATCAAACGATTTGATAACTCGAATTGATATTTAATGGCTGGAGAACAAGAACAAAATAAATATAAAAATAAAAATATTTGTTAAACTAGCTGATTAATTTGTCAACGTAAAGAAATTTAATGAATTTTAAGAAATGCTGAGTATATAATATAAATCGAATCTTTTATTTTTATGAAATCCATTCAACAATTGTTCAAATACAATAAACGTATGACCCCTCGCTTAACACGCTTTAAATCAACTTATAATATTTTTACTAAGTGATGACATATTAATGATGATTGAGAAAATGTTATGGTCCTCGGAAATATGCTAATAATGTTGAGTTTTATAGTTTCTAAAGGAAATACAACCTATATAAGGCTTTCAAAGTATAATAATTCA